GACAATTGTGGCAAGATAATAATTAAGTTGAAACATAAAGGTAAGGAAAATTCCCCAAAAAGTAGGAATGAAGAACGTGATAAGCAGTTGTAGATGGAATTCGAACTCGGTTCAGGGATTAAGATTCTCTCTCTCTCACACTCACTCACTCACACACACACACACACACACACACACACGATGCTGTCCGAGAATATTCACTATCATGTGGCCTCCTAACTTCTGATTTGAATCTTCTGGATTTCTAAACCTGACTCGTTGTCGAGAAGGAAACCAACCCTTGGCCCCATGAATACCAAGGACCTGTTGAAGATTAACATCGCGGAGGGGATGTCTAATATGAACCATCTGACCCGAGTGTACAGTCGCTTCCACGGTCGCATTGAGACTATCGTCAAGGCTGAAGGAAGTAACAACCTTTGTGCTGTTTAATTTGAACATGTGTAAAAACGTTTTATTTTAATATACTGGTTCTATATTCTGAGCATCTTTGTTTTTATTCGTTCTCAATTACCTGGCTTACTCTATATATGTGTCTTTGTATGCATGCGTGGGTGTCAATACACTTTCCCACATCATCGGGTAAGTAATTTTAGAGGACCTTCTCTTTCTTCAAATGCCAGTAGGCTTCATCAAAGGATCTTCCTCTCCCACAGTATTACCACTGTGACCAGCAGAATGACAAAAGACTAAAGAGCTAATAATTAAAAAAAATATCATCTCATATTGAAATTCTTAAGAAGGCTTCATGTTAATAAAGAATCTGAACCTCGCTTCATGCTTAAAATAGGCTTAATTTTGGGACTAATCTGAGCCTTGTCATGCACATTAAAGCTTTATGCCAATTAAAAAAATGAGCCTCGCTTTATGCATGAAATATGCTTAATTTTTGAACTAATCTGTGCCTTGTCATTCTCATAAGCTTCATGTTAATAAAAAGTTCAGCCTTGGTTCATGCTTAATTTTTGTACCAATCTTATGTACCATGCTTATAAGCTTCATGTAAATTTAAAAAATATTAGCCTCTCTTCATTCTTAAAATATGCTTTTTTTTTCCCGAGCCTTGCCATGCTTATAATTTTCACGGTAATGAAAAAAGAGTAGGTCTATATATATATTTTATTGAGTTAGAGTGAAAAGAGATTAAGCTCCATTTAAACATTTAAATTCAAGCAACTGTAGATTAATGGTAACAAGCTAAACGCTCGTAAACGAATAATTATAAAGAAAAAATTTAATTAATAATAAATACGATGAATTTTAAATAGGTCTTTATCCTTAGAATTTAATCTTACCATATATCTGGTTACTCTAGTCTAAATGTTATAATAAACCCGTCCCCAATTGTATATATTCGTTTTTTAGTAAATTTAAATATCTTGTCCACACATTATATGCATATTATTTACAATTCTGGTTAAAAAAATATCTTATTAACACAATTTTGATTTTTGAGTCTGACGTTTAGATTCTAGCATTATCGTATGTGATGGTATATAAGACGCCCTATTTCTTTGCATGGATGTTATAAATTCATTAAATTCTAATGTTTGCGAGGAAAAAATAAACAATAAACACGTGGATCTAATTACAGACTTGCCATATGTCATGGATTGGCCAGTATGCCCCCGATTTCAGGAGTGTGCCCTATATTTCGAGCATCTTTGTTTTTATTCGTTCTCAATTACCTGTATTATCCATATTAGTGTCAGTCCCAAAGTTTGAGGACTGCTGAGTCATGAATTACTCAAGTATGCTAAAGCTATAATAACAATTGAAAATTATATTGGTTTGTAGCTTATGGTAAGCCTCACCTTACATGTCGTCAAATTAATAGTTTATTCATATCATAAAGATGGTGGTATCTTTTATGGCGTGGCTTAGTTTTTCACATGTGAGACTTTTAATATATTCTTTCCCATTTAATATAGTTTAAGCATTTGCGCATATCTGTATATCCTTATATTTTGACTCCTGTCTTTCTTATTTTGGTCTTTTCTAGATTTCACAGCTATGATCTTTTATTTGCGTTATTCATTGGAACAGTCCACCATTGTCATAGAAGTTCAAGTGTAATCACCAGTGTAAGAAAAGGGAAATAACCATAGACACTAATAGTTGCAGACATTACAGTGAAAAAAAAAATACATACATATACACGTAGCTAAGTATAAAGTAAAATTCCACGAATAATTTTCTCTATTTTATTAATCTATTTTTGGCAAACTTGAATCTTCATACCCGCAAAAAGCAGAGTGTCAAAAGAATTAATTCTGCATTGGCATCGCTATTATTTTAACTACCTTCATACCTTGGCAATGTTTATTGTTTTAAAAAAGCTATGATTAGAATTTTAATAAAACCTAAAGATCTCATGAAAGTGAATTTATACACTTTTTTTGTTCTTGGAAATTTACAACAAAACATTAAATGCTATTTATTTATTAGATTGTTTACTTACAACAATATTTTTATATTTACAACATTCTAAAAACTAATAAAATTAAAACTAATCCAATATTTATCATTTACCAATTTATAAAGAAATAAATATGAAAACAATGTTTTATTCATAAATTTATAAACATTTACTAAATTATAAAATATGTGAATCAACTATAGAAAATTCTTATTATTTACCATTTTCTAAAGTTAGAATCAATTGGCAATTAGCTGATGTATTACCAACAATTCCAGTAAACAATATAATGAATAAATAGTCTATATAAACAATCTAACAGTCTTGTTGTCAATTCTCAAGAACAAAGAACATGTATAAACTCACATTCATATATTTAGATTTTATTACAATTCTAATTTTTACGGTGGAGTAATGGATAGCGGCTCGGATTGAGGAATAGGAGTTCGAATTAGAAGCCGAGTTCGAATTCTAGTCGAATCCATTACATTCACTTACGTGCTAATACCCTCTGGGAAAGGTATGAATCCTCCTCTTCTTCTCCCCACCCAGCTATGAGTAAATAGCAGGACAGACAGGATTCTGTATCCTTGGATGGCAACTGGTCAAACCTCGTCAGACATGTATCTAAAGATAAACGATCCCCTAAGCGTGTATCACGCATACCGCATAACTGAAACATTGCCGAGGAGTGAAGGTAGTTAAAATAATAGCGGTGTCAAAGGAAAAAAACTTCTCATTGATACTCCGATTTTTTTTTTCTTTTTGCGGGCACGATATCACAAGTTTCTCCTATTTTTTTTTTCTTTTATAAAAACACGTTTAAGCTGATCAGTAATTTGTTTTTAATTCCTGCAGTTTAATTTAATGATCGAAGAATATTGTTTTTCATTCCATGTCCCTTCAAGATTATAGTTTTTCATGGATTCCTTTTGTTTTGTTATATTTGAATTGTCACGACTTGTTAGGAAGATAGTGATGTGCTATCTCATTGCCTTCTCCGCGGGTTTGAATTCAGATTTCTCCTTTTCCTAGACTGGTTGCCATTCAAGACTCGAGAACACAGTCTATTTAATCGATAGCTCGTGGGAGAAGAAATTTATTGACGCCATTTCCAAGGGTATTTGTGCGAAGTGCATGCAACAGATAAAGCCGGAACTAGAACCCGACTTACCGATTCCACATTTCACACCGATAACCTTTACGCTACCTGCACATAGAAATACATCAGGTAAAAAAGTTGTAATGAAAAAAAAAAGGAAGTAATGTAATTAATTAGATTATTATTATTATTATTATTATTATTATTTTCTTTGATCTTTGTTGTATACATATTTCCCCCTGTCTCCCAACCAGAGACCTAAGGTCAGAAATGACTTCATGATATTTTCCACTGATCATTTTTGCAAAAAAAAAAAGCAAAAAACAAACCAAGACCACACACATTTTACATAAATAAAGCCCTTCGTAATGTGTGAGCTGTACTTGTGAGTACAATGTTTTGTATTTACAATAAATTTGTTATTTCCTTAGGGCTATCAGTCTCTCTCTCTCTTATCTCTCTCTTATATATATATATATATATAGTTTTATGGTATGCTATATTTATCGATAAAAGTGCCCAATATCAGGGATAGGGCATGTGTAATAATAGCATGAGTGTTGATCTCAATATCTATCTATATATATATATGTATATATATATACACTCACACACGCACATATATAAATTTGCATATCATTGGAAATCTACGTCTTTTCTCTCTTTCTCTCTTCTTTCTCTCTCTCTATATATATATATACATATATATATATATATATATATATTAGGTTGAAAAATAATGACGTAATAATGTCGTTTTTGACGTACTTTTCTACGTTAAAAAACGACATTCTTACGTCATTATTTTTGCACCAACCCTATATATATATATAAATCGACACGGAGGTCAATACCAAACAGTCTGTTTCATGGTTGAATGTAATCTTCAGGTCATAGTTACATACGCTCTATCCATGATTTTGAGCACCTTTATTCATAAATATAGCAGATCATAAAACTATATTTTTATCATATATATATATATATATATATGAATTAATAAATTAAAAATCTATTAGCCCATTCAGATGGCCATTTCTGGATGAAATGTCTTTCTGAATGAGGTAATAGTTTCATTTTTACGTAATTCATTTATATACTCTATTATAAATATATTGAGCTCTCTTTTGTGGATAAGTTTTAATATTTTATATTATTAGAATTTACTTGGATTACTTTCCCACGGATTTTTACCTATATGTATATGTGTGTGTGTGTTTGTAAATATTCTCAGATGGAGTGTATATGTAGAAGAGACAAAATGAATAAAAAGATACACTATATTTAGCCGACCCGATGCGCTTTATCAAAGTAAAGCTAAAATCCCTTCATAAAGTCCCTCAGAGTACGAAGCGCGTTGGCTAAGTATTAATTTTTTCTTTTTGTCTCTTTTTATTCATATGCATATATAAGGTTTATATGTGGGCAGCAATTTTAAATTCATAGACGTTTAAAAAAAAACAAACAAAATAAACGAACGACACGAACAGTCACAGGGATACAGAGAATCGTGATATCTGAAAATGAAGAAACCGACATCGTATACAGAAAACCGAAAAGTCACTGAAAATGGCTAAGAATAGCCGAAAGTACTCAGACATTGGACAATTCATATCTGAATATATAACTGGAAAGCAAGAAAATGATCATATAGAAAAAAATAATAAAAATATAACTTATCAAAGTACTCTCGCTGGATATATATATAGTCTTAAGATGTGCTATATCTATGGGATATCAGAGATAGAGCGAGTGTAAATATAAAAGTGAACATAGAAGTCAACACTTAGAGGTCTGTTTCATGCTAAATGCAATCGTCAGGCCTGATGATTGCATCTAGCATGAAACAGACCTCTAAGTGTTGACTTCTATGTTCATTTATATATATATATATATATATATATATATATATATATATATATATATATATATATATATATATATATATATAAAAATTAAATTAAATTAGTATGGGATTTCAAGAGGATAAAAGATCCAAGGAGAGCTCTATGTCCGAGACAGAAATATTATTAATTAATGAATATCAAACACTTAAAATATAGTATTTTAAGTGTTTGATATTAATTAATTAATACCCCCCCACACACATGTACGTATATGAATAAAAACAAAAAGAAAACTTATCTTCGCCAACGCGTTTCGTCCTTTGATGGACTTTACCAAGACAAATATAACGATTTTATTTTGCAATAAGTATTTATAAACAGAAGTAAAAATGTTGTTAGTTTTTCAGAATTTTTAAACTTAAGAATTCTCATAAATATACTTCAAGCTAATTGAAAGTCAAGGCAAATTATGAAAGATGTAATGTAATTAAATGTCTAATAAACGAAAATGAGTAAATGGTGTTATTAAAGTTTTTAATACTGCAATAATAACTATTATTACTAATCAATGTTTTTTCACCTTCGATAACAATTTTTAGACAAAGATTTGGTTTACCGATGGAGTCCCCTAATAGCAGCGTTTTGGCTTGCCTATTTTTAGAATTTCTAGGAAATGATCCTTTCAAAAATATTTATGAATTTTTTTACCCAACCCTACTGCAAATGTTACTGTGTGGATACTCAGGTTTGAGTAGAAGCCTTGTTTCTTTTTCATTTTAAACAATGTGAATTACATTTGCCAGTCTGCGTATTCGAGAAACAATGAATAGAATGTGCTCTCCGACCGTGTTCGAACCTGCGTCATCCTTTGTAGGAGGAACCACTGTCTTAACCGGATTGCTTTCGAACGCACAGTCACAGAAACCTTGCTAGGTTGTGACAATCTCTGTGACCGAGCCGCCTAAAGTACACCGGATGCAAAAATTGTGAAAGAATAAAAATATCTGGACTAAGCGAATATTGTCATTTTCTTTCTTTCTTTCAAGCAATTTATACAAAGTAGGAGCTGTTCTGTGAATTCACCTCAAAATATTAATTCACCCCAAAATAGAATTTATATTTATTAAAGTTCACACCAAATTCTCTCAGAACGAGACCCTATCATTGCACTCCGATTGGGTTGACCCTTGCGGTCTCCCCAAATTTGGGTGATTCGGGTGCACAATTTCTAAGTGTAGGAGGGTCTCCATTCGCGCTCACTCCGATAAACAAGCTTAAACAGATTTTTTTTTTTTTTTTAAATTGTAAAAAATTCCTTGTAAGTACCTCGAATATTATCCACACTCACGAAATGTGAATAACTCTCTGATTTTTTAAGTTGTTGCGAGACAAGCTAAACAAATTTTGATTTAAAATGTATAATTTCAAAACAGCCCCAAAAATTTAATTAAAAAAAACAACAAAACAAAACAAACTTTGATTTAAAATTTATAATTTCTTGGAGTGAATTAACATTTGCGATAAATAACTTTACAGTTTACATTATTTGGGGTGAGTTAACAAAAAAGATCCTACAAAGTATATTGATCTCGTGATTATATTCAAATTCAAGGTATGTAAAAAAACTGAGAAGTTACTAGCATATTAAAAAAAAAAAAAAAATTTTATCCATATGACGGTATAAAAATATCTTCTTTTTTAGGTAAAGAATTAAAATGCAGTATTAATCTGTAACTAAAAGTTATAATTGAGAAATCTTTATTTATTAGTGATAAAAGAATGCAATACTACAGAAGCTTTAATTATTTTATTTTTTTATATTTGGTAGAGGTATTTTAAATTTAAGCCCTTAAAGCTACTGCGAATTTATTAGGTTGGTGCAAAAATAAGGACGTAATGATGTCGTTTTTTGACGTTAAAATACGCCCAAAACGACATTATTACGTCATTATTTTTGCACCAACCTAATATTTTTAGAATATATATCAAAATATTTTAATGATATATCACCAAAAACGAAAGACAGTAATGGAAAAAAAGAAAGAAAGAAGCAAACAACAACCCACAAATGTACAATAAACGTCTGCCAGGTATGTAAATGATTATACTATCGCAGACATGATGGCTTATTTTTTTTGTTTCTGTTTTTATTTAAATATATTGCAGTAATTTGAATATCTTGTTTGAAATTTTGGTTTTAGTTTTAATTGTAAGAAAATAGTATAAAATTAACTGTAAAAAATATTTTTTGTCTCAGTCTACGTAATGCAGGTTTTAGAGATACCGACACTAATTCTCGATACCTAAGGTTTAAAATGAATTTTTAAAAATGAAAAAAATCTTTCTTGAAGCTTTCATTTTAGCTTTAATTGAAAGCTAAAGGATTAAATTTACGATTTCCACTAAGCAAAATACTTTGGTGTATTTCAAACAAAAACTATATTCACTGGAATTGATTTTTGCTTAAATAGCTGATAAACGCACTTTTTAGTCGTCTTTCATCGCAATATAATTCACTATATAAAAAGATCTTCCAAAAATAAAATATACTTTTCTGAAACTTTATTTGAGGAATATTAGCTGATTTAAAGTATAATTGATCTGATTTAAAACAAATATTATTTGCTTTAAGTATCAAATAACACAGAAATGCATTTTTAACACAAAAATTAGCTGTGTTTTTAACCGATATCATCATTGACGAGGTGATGACATAATTGATTGTTGTTCTACGGAGACTTTATCTGTAAAACATAATTTAAGAAAATGACGTGAGCGCCTTTTTTTATATAATTTTTAAGTAGTCAGTAATCTTAAAAATGTTGGAAAATTTTCTCCGTAATTTAATTTTAGGAATGTTGACTTTAAATTTGCTATAGTCATCGGTCTTATTTTCTGATAATGTTGTGTATGGTCATCCATACTTTTAAAATGGACACGGCTATACACATAAAAAAGATTAAAAATTATTTTAAAAATCTTAGTGAGTGATGATTTGTATTAAGCTTTTCACTTTTTGATTGGCAAATATAGTTTTCACTTAATAACAATATCACCTAACGCGATTATTGTTTTGCAGAATGTTTAAAAGAATTGAAACTTTATAAATTATTATAATTAAAATGAAAACAATTCTCGTAAAAATTCATTAATCATAGAAAAAAATTTTTTTCTTGAGAGTATGATGTCCTTAATATATATCATTTATAAAAGCAATTAAAAGCTTATTTAATTAAATAATGTCAGAGTTGTATTGAACTTTTTATTTTACTATTCGGAGCGGATTTTCTGGATATCAGTAACTGTTAAAAAAAAATAATAATGGATGATTTACACATTCTCAATAATAAAAAATCCTGCTTTTAACTAATAAAAAAAGTAGATCAAAATTTAATTTTTCCAAGATTTCCAAAGAAATTAAGTAGAAAATTTTCTAAAAAATAACCTAAAAAAAAAAAAATAACCTCAAAAAATTTTTATCAAAATTTTCTAAAGATAATAACCTCAAAAACAATTTCATTCGTTTGCGAATAAGTCCTGAAAGTATCATTAAAATCTGACAATTATTTGATTTTTGCAAGAATTTAACCGGAAAATGGAGCTAACATTTCCATAGATATCTTAGTACAACGCTGACCAAAAATAAAAAACAAGATTTTTAACCAAAATTTCTAACTTGATAGAAAGGATTAAAAAGTTTAATAAAATATTAGAAAATAACTTTAGTTTTGCCTTAGCATAAACATTCTGGCGATAAAAATTTGTTTTTATCAAGTTCGGGACCTTTTCTCATCATGGTAGCGAAAAAGTGGAGGTGCCTATAATGATTTCTTGAATGTGAATTTTTGTCATTCAAAGTTTAACTGTCATAGAAATATAGGATTTAACAAAAACTATTTTATTAATCATTAATGAATACTTAACTGGATTTTTAAAATATTACTTACTTTTTCATTAAAATTTAAAATATACTGGAAATACATGTTTTCAGTACGTACCACTAAAATGGATGGTTTTTTTTCTGCCATTTTTTTTTCATCAAAGCAAAAAATCACTAACCCCAGTTTTATAATGTTTTCCTAAAATCCGGGAACTCTTAGATAAAAAATTTAATTTTCAGTACTTATTTATTAATAGCTTTTATGCTGAATAGGTTATTTTATTAGAAAACCTAGTTGAAATATTGGGGACGGGAGTGATTTACCCCTCTTTTCGATATTTCGAGCGTACTTTTTGATTTGGTGGATGTTAGTCAATTTTTTTTTATTATTTTTTTTTTTAACAGTTATAAAGAAAAATCTCTGAAAATATTATTTCAGTAAAAAAGATTATGCAATATCAAGTGTGGACTTAAGGAAAATTCGTCCTGAATCTTATAAAAAATAATTCAATAAAACTCAAATAATAAAAATTTTTCTGGGAGTTGGTGCTTGCATAATTTAATAAAACACTTTAAAAAAAAAAAGTACGGGATTTGAAATTAGGAAGTCAATAAAGGTTTTAAAAATCTTATAAAAAAGCCAAGGTTTTAAAAAATGATGGAATAAATACCTATCTGGCCATAATTTGACTTGCAAATTCCAGTTTTTATTTGTTTGTTTTTATCATTATCTTTTTTTAAAAATAAAATTCTCTGTTGAACCAAAACTGTTTATTTACTCAATGTAAAT